AAAGTATTGTTATTTACTGTATATTCATTATAATTTATTATCGACACATGTAATTACTAACAAATTAAATATGTTAGGTTAGATTAGGAAAAAACGTAGAAAATATAATTTATATTTCATAATTATTATTTATTTATAACTTGTAAAAATAATATTATTGCTTTTTTTTGAAAATAGTTTTTCATTTAGATGTTATGTGCTATCCGTTGGTTTTTTAATACTTGTTTTCTCATCAGTTGTACTTTTTTATTATATAATGATATTTTGTTCTTGACTCCTTGGGTATTTTTTCTGATATCGACTCATCAAGCTTAGTGCATGGTCCAGCCAAATGATGTGCTCTGCATTCCTCTTGTATTATAGCTACCTAATTAACAATTATAGTGAATGGCAACGTTGCTAAAGCGAAAATCATATCGATAAAAGTAACTCTTTACACGGTACTTGACAATGTAAATTATTTATTATTATTATTAGTATACTTACTATTAAGATAAGTAGGTAATGTTAATGGAAAATAAAATTACCCAATAGAAAGGAATTGTAGGACTAACATAGTAACATGAGTTATAGATCTTTAGTGTACTTTTGTACTCCCTCTATTCATTACCTAGTCTACATATACGCCCAACTCATCTCTACTGTGACAAATCTCACTATCTATCCATTCGTCTCGTTGTATAATTATTGAAAAAATGTCAAGGTTCATTATGATGACTTAAAAAAATTAATTACCCCTAAATCGCCCTCTTTACTCAAGTCATTTCAACTCTTACAATAAAAATGACTAATAAGTAATAACTCGCTTACTACTATATAAGTACTTTCTTTTCGTCATTTTCAATGATGCCGATGAACATAAAAAAATAATTTTAATGTACATCTGTTTTCACAAAAGAAAACTGATCGATCGATTCCAATTCAAGCAACACTAATGGGTAGATTCTTAATCAAACTATTCATGTCTGATGCCTGTAAATGCAATCACAGCATGGTAACTACACTTATTGTATTCATGTGCGGATGACGTAACATTTTATAAATTATAATTTAAAAATTACAAAAACCTTTTAAATTGTTTTCCAAATGTTAGTGAATTAAATGAAAAAGTTATTTAAATAATTGAATAAAATTAAAATTTTTACTGACATAATAATTAAAAAGGTGGACAAGTGAGTATCGCTCTGCTGTACCGTATTTGATGAGCGGGTTATTGTAATAGATGTGTTAAATTTAAATTAATATAAAATCAATGTGTACTATAAATACACGATTCTATGCAAAGACGGTCTAAGGTTATAGGTTAGTCAAAGACAGCCTTTTGTAGGCTATACGAGTATTATATTACTACTTAGGTACTAATTATATTTTATGATATTTAAGTAATTTATTTTTTTATTTGGCATTAGTAAAACAGTAGGTTAAAAAATCGCATTTGAAAACTTCATTGTGTGTATAAAATATAATATATAGGAACTTAAAATGTTTCGAGTACCCATGAATAGTATTTTTATTTTTTAACTAAAATTGCTATTCTTCGTTTATATACAACTATTATATTTTATATTATATAAAGTGTCTGTGGGTTAGTTTTATGATGTAATACCTGATTAAAAATGTTGTTAGTTTAAAAATAAATAATAAGGAATTAAAGGTGAATTTTAAAATAGTTTGCCATACTGTCAGTAATATTCCGTGATCTAATTCTAGAGCATTAAAGCTGTTACACATACAGTTAGCTTGCCCAAAATTGAGTTCATACAGTCCATTTGTACTGAACGTATAAACCCACCTTTATAGGATATATTGATATAAGTATACTATAAAAATGTATATTTTCGAAAAATCTCTTCAGAAGTAAGTATTCAACTAATAGTTACCTATAAGAAATTTGAGGCTGTAAAATATAAATATTGGAAACATTTTAAATATGTAATACACAGTTCATATAAAATTAAAAGTAGAAAAAAAAATATTTACAACATCTTTTCTTTTAAAACAATAAGTCAATATGATTAGTTTGCTAATAGTTTACAATTTGTATTCACATAATACTGTTACATATACATTATACACGTATAAAAAAATAGAAAAGATAATAATATTCTATATACTATAGTACGAATAATATGATATTCTATTTCTTATACCTACCTTATACGAGATCCAAATATTATTTATTTATTTTTTTGTATTTCAAATATTTATTATACAATCTGAAAATATTTTTTTTTACAATAAGCATAAAATATTATCTAGTGGTAGTAATTAGACTGTATAACTGTAGTTTTGATGGAAGAATCCATTCAGTGATCAAAATTCACCACACTGAGCAAAATGCAAACATGTGATAAAATTATCAACGTTAAAATTCGTAATATTTGTCATTTATAAAGATTTTTTAATATCTTATAGGTTGTATTTTTGTAATCAAATTGTATTGCATACCGTAATGAACCACGAACCAATTCGTACACGTACATTTCCCCACCCTCACTCATTTCAATTTTTTCCATTTTAAATGATTAGCCATGATCCCATGAATATAATAATTTCTATCATGCAACTGTCTTTTTTGCATGGTTTTATATATGCGTTATTTTAAATTAATTTATTTGCGTTTGCCATATTTAAAACCATAGACAAATTATATTATAGGTTAGGGGTTGTACATTATTATTTTTTATTATTATCTAATACATTTTTTTTGTAGATAATAATAATCATAAGAGTTATACTAAGTACCTATTTAAGGTTTATGGTATGATAATAATGAAATCTCGCTATGTATACTATATTATAAAATATCGATATCAAGTTCACCCTCCCAAAGAAAAATAACCATGTATAATATGTGAATAATTCATTTTTCTTATTCGCATAAGGAACTATAATGGCATCGCAGCCACAATGAAACCTATTGTTATAAGTACTGAATGCCCCAAAAATTATGATATGAGAAGCAAGTATCAGATCTCATAACAGGTGGGACGAACTGCGGAAAAAATCCCTGGATTACGATATTCTTTGCACACCGATTTTTTTCAATGAAAATGATTGTAATTTTAACACGTTGAATAAATATAATCATTTTATTGTTTTTAGTTACAAGTATTAACTTATTGTAATTATTTAATAGGTATAATATCAAATTAAATGTAGAATAAGTTAAAGAATTAAAAATCAAGATTGATCTATTATTAAAGAATCGTTATTTAATGAAAATAAAAAAAACCAATCATTCCTAGGCTTTTCTACTGTTACGTGGTAACAATTAAATCGACATTATAGTCTTATACTAATGATCGTCTATTTCCAGATAAATGAAAATCTTATATTAAACTCTATTAATATATTTGATTTTGCTTTACAACCTAGACCAAATTGTAAAAAACAAAATAAATATACTCACTTTTATGATCATACTTCTTTGCGAATCATTTATCTAAAAATTAAGTTCTTCAAATATCAATACACATTATCAGCTGCCACAGAAATGTACTATTATGATTGATGCAATTATAGAATTCGCCTTATAGGTACCTACTTTGTAATTTATGAATTACAATTTATATAGATACTATCTAATACTTATATATATTTATACTCATTACTCAAGTTGTACGTCGGTGGTTGCGGTGGTTGTATTAAAGTATCAACAAATCGTTGTTGCATAGGATTATAATGAACCTGGTAACATTGGTATCACAGGCCTATCCGAATGTCTCTTGTATTACACTTCTATACTGCTGAGCTATACCACCAAGGGATTCATAGATAATATTTTCATTCTATGAATTCCGTTTGGAGGAGAAAATGGAGGGCAACGCAGAGTATTAAAATGTTTGATACCTAATTGTCTTGCGAATATTACTGTGTATACAATATAAATGATAATGCGATAATGTTATTTTCCTTAAATATTCCCTTGAACTTGGTAATAATTATATAATAATGATTATCAAGAATTGAACGGTTGGATGGACAATCAAATAATCTTATTGAAACGAAATAATTTGCTGCCCGTTTGTAGGAACTGCAAATAATAGCAACCAGTTATATTTTATCGGAACTCAAACAGCAAAAGTAATAATTATAACAGGCACTGATAATAATTATTATAACAATAATAATCTACCATATATACCGTTTGATATTATCATAACCAAAATATTATTTTAGATTAGGTAGATTTTATTCATAGAGTAAGTCTTACTCTATGACTTTAATCGTTTAAGCAAATTCCATTATTGCAATCGTGTTTAGGAATTAGAAAAAAAAATGTGTAAGACTCAGAAAATATTTTATTTTATTTCCTCATTATCATAATATTTTTTTCTTAACTACTTCGTAATCAGAATCCTTCAAAATGTTATTATGATAAACACGAGCGTATTTTTATATTTTGGAGAATAAACTTAAAATTGACACAATCACTAAACGTAAAACTACAGAATATTTTAATGTATACATTAGTATACTAAAATTTATTGTTATACTCTAAACTGTGCTCGAATTGAAGGAGGGGGGGAGTTGGCAGTGGGATGGTGTTTCTTTACTCTATATATTTTATTTGAAAGTACCCCTACTCATTCTTTTCCTTAGAATGGTAAGTTCTTTTTTTAGAAAATAGTTTTTTAACATTTCTATAGGTAGGTACTTACCTAGGCAGTATATTTTTAAATAAATTACTTTTGACCGTTCATAAGAAGTCTTTACCTACCTACTAGCAATAATTATTTGTTTGAGGATTGATGGTTGGGGGTGTATGAGGTTATGTTTCCAATTCGAGCACTGATTCTAAATATACGCTTAAATTATACCACAGGTTAGTATTTATTAATTACACGAATATAATATTATTACATAATATATTAAGAATTTGTTATATCATATATTATAAAAGGATGACAGTCGTTTAACATAATATAATAATGACTAGGTAAATTGTACATAGGTACTACAAAGTATAAAACTTTCTCGATATTAACACAACGATATACAATCAAATCAATATTGATCATTGATCATGATTTATTAAAACAATTAAATAAGATTTCAAACTAGTGTTACGTAAATTAGACTAAATATAACTATAGGTACTTTTCAATAATAGTATCTAGAATACGTGCGGTATTTCACGGGATGTAATGTTTTATGTATGCACACGAGTACCAACTACCGACAAGTACAATAAAATATCAATGTAATATAATAATATTATATCATTATATTATAGTCGAACGAATTCAGATAAGTACAAGACTAATCGGGAGCTTGCATACATATTATTATTATTTTATTATTATTGTACAATGAAGATGATAAGAGGCAATTCGATATTAATATTTAAAAACGGTAAACATATAATATAGTTGACGATAGGTAAACCCAATCGATTTAAAACAGTACCTATTGTATATTAATTGTACCGATATACATAATAAAGTAAATGCGACGAACATATAGTTATTATATAGCTATATAATATTATATAATACAATAATTATTGTAAACATTAATGTCCACGTATGAGATATGGGACGATATATTATGTACCCACACAGTACACACGTAATTAATATTGATTAATATTACATAGGTTCCTAACAACGTACCCGTAAACAGGGTACGCGATTAGTGATTTTTGGGGTCAGGTACATTCAAGAGGGTGATGAGGGGGTGTAATAGGAATAAAAGCTACTCACCAACACGATGACTGTCTAAAAGAGGGGAAATTAACCCTATCTCGATCTGGGACCGATGAAAATGATAATATGTGTTAGTACAGTTTATATTATTATTTTATGATGGACGAGTGTCCACAACACTGTCGTCTCGAAATGTCGAAGAGCAACCTAGGTACAGCGCAACATGTCGGATTGCTTTTTTTCTTATCGGCAGAAGTGTCGTTTCCTCCTCGGCATACACTGCACGTTCAACGCGAACAGCGTTGGTGTACGAAACAGAACCCTGGTCCAGAGTTATGACCGGTGTTTCGTGACCAGTCACCAAATAGGTAGTAGATATGAATAGATGATATCGTGCAATATAATTAATAATATGATTGGAATTTGTGATGTACTATTTTGTGTGACCTTTCAAAACACGAGCATCAACTGGTGATACGATTTCGAAAATTGTATTTTCATAGGAGTACACGATTTCACGTGTTTTTAAATGCAACGTTGCCATACCGGAATGTATACACAATGTATTTTGGAATTGGTAGGGAGTTTTATAAGTTTTAATTTGATCTCAAAACATCTTGTTTTTTCGTATGTCAGCAGCATTACATACAGTTTACAGTTCATAAATTTAACTCTGTATTCTAAATTTCATTTTTTCCAAAAAAGCATCACATCAAAAATTATTAAAATAATTGAAAATTGAAAAATCATAAAAATACTATGTACTACAACTATTGTGAATAACTTAAAATGTATATCTATTTTCAAATTATTATTTTAGTTTTATATATCAGAATAAAATATATACTCGATACACTGTTTCTCGTAAGTTTTAGTACAAAAAGTTTTAGTATTAATTTAATTTAGCAAATATATTATACATTTTTAAATATTATAAATTACAATTTATGGTAACGATTAACTAGATCAGACAAATCATATATAATGGCAACGTTGCATGCAAATCATGCGAAATCATGTAAATATATAAAATGATAATTTGCTTAGAATCATGTAGGTTAGGTTATTAACAGTCATTAAAATCTCCACAATAACATTCCACGAAATCGTTTTTTGTTCGTTAATGGCTATTTACGAGGCAAATACCTAATCGTTTAAATAAATAGTCCCTACGTATTAATTAGAAACATTGTCAAAAGAATGGATGAAAATCAGTATACTTAGGTACTTTTACACGTTTGTAAGGTGTTTCGTATGGGGAAATTGAATTGGATTCCAAATCTATAATGTGCGTACTGTGGATAAGTAGCCGATATTTTAGGTGAATTGTTATACTGTACATATGTGTCCCACATATAATAATTGTTGCGAGTAATTTACGTACCCAAAATGGGTATAGAGATTGCTAGTTATGGTGACTATTATGTTTGTAAATTACATTTTTAGTATATATGTATAGCTCATTGATGGGATAGGTAGGTACCTATGTAACTCTGAATAGCACTTGCATAGTCTCAGCTCTTACCTTGTGTATATTATAATGTCACAAATATGTTAAATTTATATATTATCTTAAATTGTATAGTATCTTATTCTATTTGATACATAAACGATTTTAGTGCATTTTTTGGTTTGAAAACCCATTGATACCTATACCTACCTATAGGCATATTTTATTTGCCTGGATTGTGAACCATACAATGCGAAGGTCGGTTGGGAATATTAAAATAGATACATCAGGATTCAATTCAAATGTTTCCAAATTGAAGTGTTACATACATTATTTGTTGCTGGTTGGGGGAAAGAGACCTTGAATTTAGCTTTAAACAGGTCTTTAAGAGTATATATTATATCGTCCTCGTTCATGCAAAGTACTGAAAGTCCAAAACAATGATTTCCGAGAGTAAGTTTTCTATTCCGTCCAAACTTAAAAAAAATCTTTTTATACATTTTTGGACAACCCGTAAAAAATATTTAGTAGCTGAAGTGATTAGAATTAGTAGATACAATTGGATCAAATTTTCTTTTAATGTACTGTGGGGTAATTCTCTTAGCAGGTTCATACCAATTTTTTTCTTTAATAATATTAATGAATTCCAATTCTGACTTAAGATTTTTTTAAATATACCTCAATATAATCTTTTTAAATTCTTTGAGATTTTCGTACCACTCAAGGAGTGTCATGGAACGATACAAACTTCAGAACTACATAAAAGCAAAGTACATTTTCGACTTGGCACGTGTCGCATGGACGTGGACACGAATGGACGATACATAGGTCAGCAACTATATATAATATACTGCTATGGGTCGGGTCATAGGTGAGTTGGACGACACACGACTGGGGGGCGTACTATTACAAATTATAATTTATTATTATGTTATCATATTATATGCGGCGCATAAGACGTGTTGCCTAGGTCACGGCAGAATATACTTGTTGCAACGTCGTGGCCCCGTCGCCGATCTGGTCCAGCCGAACCGACGGTGCGTTTTCTTTTCCACTCGACCCAGGGTCTTCAACACGAACGTGTCGGACCGCGCCCGGCACCTGTCCGGGGCGATCGCCCATCGAGGTCATTCGAACGCGGCGTTGAGCAGGTCGTCTTCGGATTTCCTCCTGGACTTGCAGCGGTGGTCACGTATCAGGCCTCGGTAGGGTGCGCACGACTCCAGATCGCATTCGCTGATGCCGTTTTTCTTCTCGTACGCGTAGTCCAGCGCGTCTCGCGTCGATTTGGTCGGGTTCAGCAGCGTCACCGTGTCCCCGTCGATCATGTCCGCGTCGAACAGCTCGTCGCCGAGTTCCGCGTACGCCACTGACCCGAATCTGAAACATTACGAAACGAAACACATGGATTAACCACCCACACCACGACTGGCAGCTCAATTACTCAAAGTTTAGCTGTGTGCAACTACACTATGTAATTGTTATTACAGATGTCACGAGGACAAGCCAAGTGGGATGCGTGTTTATACGCGTGTCCACACGGAACGGCTGGTCAAAAGTGTGGGTTTTCCCCATCAATACCCGTCTGGCCGTCTATACCAAATGATGATGGTCTATTAACACTATGTATATTATAATTTTGAAAAATGGAGCACTTTTCTTTGTAGATGTCGAAGAATATTTTTTTCGCTAGGTATGTCAAAAATATTAAAAATGTAATATAATAGTTGTCAATACAGGATTCCCAAAAAAAAAAAAATTGAACGTAAATCCGCAATATTCTTTATTGAAAATTTGACCGAATTTTGTCAACAACTATATTTTTGAAGTTAAATATTTTTAATATTCATACCAAACGTTTGAAAATGTAATACAAGGTTGCCATAAGTTATTATTCCTGAAATTAAAAAAAAAAAGTTGTCTGTAATTCTAAAAATATTTTAAAGAAAGGATAAAAATCATAATTAAATTACATAAAATAAAACTACGGTAATATTTATAGTGAAATAAATCAATTTGATAGCAATATCAAAAAACATACAATGAATTAATATACTTAGTGATTTATAGATTATGGACTTGATAGAAGTTGAGGGATGATAATAATATACGTATAACTGCAAATAGACTATACCGAGAAACCGGAGCGATCGTACATAACTGTAACACATATTAAATGTGAGTCTTAATGTCGATTGACAATAAATTGTAATTTTCCCCATTACCTATCAATACATGTAGCCCCCTGCTCACCTGTTCACCCACCCACCCCAAAAACATGAATGGGCCATGCCCTCTCAACGATCCCTAGACCACGTCACTGATTACGATTAACGACATACATATACCATTATGCATTAGCGATTAGCTGATATATTCTCTACATTAAGATAGGGTGGATGGAGGTATTTGCTGCAATACATCGACATTATTAGACTGTAAGTCTAAGTGAAAACAGTTATATTTTAGTAATAATCAATTGCAACTACCAAATTTACAGTTAAGTTCTTAGCCTGTGAATATTAGTAGCCGATTACAATGATGTGTCAACAAAGGAAACTTGGTAAGTTTTCACATATCTTTATACAAAATATAAAATACAGGTCTTTTTTACCGCGTTTCCGACGTCACTATTGAACTTTTTTACGATTTTATTTCAAATAGCTGTTTCAAATAAATACTCCCCCGAGTGTGCCATTTTTTACAATTTTGACAGGATGTGCTATGGGAGAAAAATTATTTTTACCGAAAACGACATTATATACCTCAACGAGTTTCCAGTTCTATTCAGAAGGGTTCAATTTCCAATAAAAGTTTGTTTTGCAATGACAATAAACAAAGTGCAAGGTCAGACATTAGAGCATTGTGGAATAGATTTGGAAAGTAACTGTTTCTCACATCGTCGATTGTACGCTGTTTTGTATAGGGTGAGAAGACCTGGGACCATTTATACGTTTATGAACCACAATATATAACTCTGAATGTGGTATATCGAGAAGTTTTGATTTAAGTTATTTGTTAGTATAATAATATAGTAGGTATCTACTAAATTCAGAGTTTATTTTAAAATATAATTAGTGTAGTATAAATGTATGTAAATGTATAAATAATAAATGGTGAGTACATCATGCACGTGTTCTTCTAATATCAAAATACAAATTCGTAGTTACTGGTAATATTAATCGTATTATGATTATATCATCATAATCACTGTACATAGAATCATATTTTTTGTAAGTATCATAAATTAAGTTAAATAGATTGTAGGTATTACATTTTCGTTCAAAACTGTCCAAGGGAGAAGCCGGACATTCAACTAGTAAGAAATAAAGAAGGCAGTAAAGATATTTAGCGGCGATCGCTTGATACAGTAACCTAACCTAATCTAACGGCTAACCGTGATGGTTTCAATAAAGTGGTTGTACATTTTAATTGTGTGTGTGTTCCGATTTATTAGTATACGTCAGAAGTAATCAGCGTAAACGACACTACACTAATATTGTAATATTGTAATATTAATACAATGTACACAGCGAGTTGTATTTCAAGTTATTGTGGGTTATTGTGACCAACGGCTGATCATTTTTTCCGCCCCCATCTCTGAAACTAATGTTTGTATACTTCTACGATATGACATTTTGTATAAAATAATAATAATAATTTATTATAAACGAGACGCGTATAATCGTCTTATTGTAGCCATGACAATCGACGGTCATAGCGGGCCGAAGATAGTTAAAAAGTTGTTTTCAGATATAAAAATATGGATAAAAACACGAACCAAGTATAAACTATACTGCTGCCCACATACATTGGTATACAGTTAAAACTTCTTTTACATATTTTATTTTGTATGTATTTTAAGTACAAAAATAATGAAGTATTATTTCTATTAGGAATGTAAAGTATTGTGTTTGATAAAATTAAAATGATCTATTAAATTGTACATACAAAAAATTCAAATTAAATCAAATTAATAAAAAAAAGCCATAAATCTTTTCAAATGTTGACATCTTTCAAAGTGTTCCATCCAGGATCTTAGTAGGCCTGGTTAGCCCTAGAGTAAATACGTCCCTGGATGTATATTATCCTTATATTGCTCGTAAACACATAAAATAAACGCGGCACACGCGTCGTGACACGTGAAACGTGTATTATATTTTTAAAACGTTCTATTCGCACACGCGTGTACCTATATAGACGCATTATACGGAAGACGGAAGTGTGCACGGACAGAGAATAGAGATATATTTTGAAACACACCGAAGCTGTATAACATTATATTAAACTTATTTTGACGATTTTTGTGTATATTGCCGCGTTGCGTGTAGGTCCGCGCAGTTTGTTTCACCCGTCGTCGGAGAGCAGATAATAATAGTATAGACTTTGCGTGCACTTTGTGTGTATATGCTACGATGGGATACACCAGGGGCAAACCAGGCCTAAATGCCTGCTTATTTTAGTTTTCTTTTCTCAAAAGCTTGGAAAACGTTTTGTTTACACCATCATCGCTGTCTAAAAATCGTAAACTGCGGTAATACAGGCGCCTTACGTACCGTATACACGTGTCGGAAAAATGGAAACGCTCTCGGGGCGATACGTCAAATCAAATTATTTGGATGTTGTACTGTAGTACAGTGATATATTGCATGGAAATATTATACAGTGGCATAATTTGAGGGAAGGGGGGGGACTTGTCCCTGCCCGATTGCAACAGCAGTCCAATTGGCCGGCTGTTAGTGAAGTAACATGACTATAATATTTTCCTATATTTTGAGAATATATTATATTGTGTAAATAGTAAAAACTAAACAATAATTGTCATGATGATAATTAGTATTTATAGTTTTTTTTTTAGTACAAATATATGGACTTTGATATCACAAAGAAATTCTAAAAACAAAACGATCACTCTTTATACATAATTAATAATAATTTCGAAAAAACCCTCTATAATAGAAGGTACCATTTAAAAATGTTTGATTTTCCAGTTAGGTACGTTACAGCAGTCGTGTTTCAAGTCATAATTTTTTCGTTCAACCCCTCTATAGAAATATAAAATTATTCCACTGAAGTAGGTACTATAATTATTAATTAGCTCCTAAATATCTTATTTTGCTATAAAATGAGGCTGTTTTTACACGTTTAATTGTATAAAGCTAAGTAAGATGACAAATGGGCATTGTTGAGATAAAAATTTAAGTGGAAGTTAATTTGCGAACGAATCGATCTGTTTTGTATGCCTTAATATGGCCCGGTCATAACTTTGGCCACCCCCTGTTTAAAACTAAAATGACACCACTAGTACTCTATAATATAATATTATGAGGCAATGTAGGTGCAATAGATAATATTTTTTCTCCTCTAACTGATTCACAGTGAAACTCTGACTTTTTACGTGTCGACGAGTGGGTAGTTTATTTATTTCAAAATATCTTTTGTCGCAGTGAACAAAGCATCACGCTTGTTCAAGGCGGGTACCTACAGCAGCAGAAGTAATCATAGACATTTTTCACGCGTATAGCGTCTCTGTACAATAGGTATGTTCAAAGTTATATCATAAATCGAGTCTACTTTGAAGAGGTGAGTTTTCGATTTTCTCGGTAATTGTTTATAGAGTATGAAAAAGAAGTAGTTGCCAGCAACGTCGAAATTGTGTGGAAATGTCTCTGAGAACCGAGAGGGCTTTTTTTCTTTTAATCTCTCGCTTGAATGTACAAATAACTGCAATACTGCATATAACTGCATACGTTGTAGATTTGGGATCAATATTACTCTTTCAAAATTGAATAATTGAATAAATAGTTACAGATGGTGTACGGAGATAGGGTCGGTAGTAAATATCATATCACAACTTGATAATATACCCATGTACAAAATTTTGGTGGGGGTTGAAAAGTGGATACAGAGCTATATATACGAAGACATTACTTCTAGTTCGGCTACGTATTCACCTGTACCTTGTGCTTAAATTGTTTGCAAGTAAGTTTAGTCCGCTGAGATTTACATCAAACTATTGTGCCCATACTAACAGCTTAATTATTAATTTTCCTATAGATCCATGAGCCTTTAATGTTGGTGCAACACGTAAAATTGCACCATACACAATATATCAAAATATAGGTATGATAGACGGGAAAGCACTGGTACGGGATTTTCTCAGTATTAGTTTTTTCCAGGAAATTATAGGTACCGAGAAAATCAAAAATGCCTCGTCAAAGTAGGAACCTAACTATCCATGTTTAGAGATTATTTTCAACGAAAGCACTGCTTAAAACTTTTGAGGCACTTTTTCAGCCTGAAAAAATGTTGGCAATAAAATATGAGAAAAAAAAACACGATTGTAAAACAATAATTAGAATATACATTTTGGAATCTAA